TCAGCTCACGGGTCCTGAAAAGGTAGGTTTAGAATTCTTTTCTTTTTTCCATTTTTTGTTGCCCAAGGGAGGGGTCAGGACCCATGACCCCCTCCCCCAGATCCGCCAATGTGAATTGCGAGAAAATGTAACTCGGTCGGGTACAGGATAAACATTCTCTTCCCCATCCTTCTCCTCCTTCTTCCCTCCTTCTTTTCTTGCATTTCCGATCATACAAAAATCTCCAGACATTATATATTTTTCGCCAAAAAGTTGGGAGGGGGGCCGGCCCCCCGGTCACCCGCTTCCGCCGGCCATGCAAATGGTAAACATACCAATGAAGTAGTTACAACTCTTATTTTTTTTTTGAAAAATAACCCATAGTGAACAAAAAATTAGTTTGCGCATTACTTGTTCTACTGTCTTTGCCGATACCTCCTTGCCCTGTGCACCTAATTGTGACCTCTTCCTTTAGAAGTAATTGACTGCGCGATTTAATTTAATCTGCATGGGAATATTAACTGTGGTTTGTTTGATATTACAAGAATATATATATATATATATATATATATATATATATATGTAGTGAGACTGATCACAAGTAACAGAAAACAAGGGTTGACGTATTTCAGGATTATAATAATATATTTATTTGAACACGAATATTTCGGTCGTCTCTGCAACCTTCTTCAGTGTGAACTGAACATACAACAGACTTTGCATAGAGTATATTGGCACATCAAGGAAGTAATTAGGCATAAATATTAGCATGACAAAATAAGGTGATTAATGGAATAACTAATTGTTTATGTGTGGTCAGATAGCCTACTATCAAATATAAATTCATTGGTCATTTGATATATTTGATATATTGGACGGACCAAATATCCGTCCTACAGAAGGGCTTATCATATTGTCCAACCCGCAAGCCTGATCCAATTAATCTCTGCTCTGATCTGGATGACTTTACAAGGAGAATTCAACTCAAAGAGTATTTCAAAGATGCCCCACTTAATAACTCAGAAAAACAAGGCAATGCACATTGCAATAGGAGAGACACAGCAAAAAAATGACAAGAAACGTTGGACACCACCTAGCAACAGGAACACTTATATAGATAACTTTGTGAACACTACCAAATCTCACCTGGATATGTTCATTCAAAACAATGTTATTGATTAAAACCTAATAAGCAAATTTCGAATGACAACCTTATTAAGAAAAATGAACGCACGGCCATTAAAGAACTCAGACAGAATACCACCATAACTATTAAGCAAGCTGATAAGGGCGGTGCTATCACGATTCTTGATACTGATATGTATATCAATGAAATAAATCGACAGCTATCCGAAGAATCAACATATACCACATTACCGGCAGATCCAACTGACACATACAGAGAAAAACTATGTGACATGCTGCGATCGTCTGATACTGATACTCAAGATCTAGTCCAACCACTAGTTCCAAAATCACCAAAACCAGGCACAATACACTGTCTACCCAAGTTTCACAAGCTCCCGTAAATTATCAAGGATGCGTTAAACAGTTCGACTTCGGCCACCGGCCTACGATCTATCTTGTCCTTTACGACCTAGTAAAGTCATTAAACATCACACCTCCAGGCAGACCTATAATTTCAGGTATTGGAACACTCACAGAAGCATTATCAGGCTTTATTGACTCTATTCTGAACCCTTTACTTCATAATATACCTAGTTACACCAAGGACATTACGCACTTTCTCAATAAATTGAACGAAATATCCCACCTAGATGATGATGCGTTGCTCGTAATTATGGACGTGTGCTCTCTTTACACCAATATACCTCATAACGAAGGAGTAACTGCTTGCGAAAGATTTCTCACGGACTACCATTCAGAATTACCAGCTAAGGACATTTGCAAAATAATTGATTTTATTCTTAAACACAATTATTTTAGCTTTAATGGCTCTTACTACCTCCAAACAACAGGTACAGCAATGGGAACCAAAATGGCCCCATGCTATGCGAATGTCTTTATGGCAGAATTAGAAAATGATTTACTGTCTAGCCTAGTATTTAAATCTTCTCATTACTCACGCTATATTGATGACATATTTTTTATTTGGGAACAGGGTAAAGATAAGCTTATAGATTTTATATCTATCATTAATAATTATCATCATAGTATTAAGTTCACTGTTGAATATTCTAGTGAGTCCATTCCATTTCTAGATGTATTAGTTGGCAGAAACGGAGGCAACATATCTACATCCATATATTACAAACCTACAGACAATCATCAATACCTTGATTTTTACAGCTACCATCCTATCACTCTTAAACGGTCTATCGTGTACAGTCAGTGTCTCAGACTCAAGCGAATCTGTTCAGACCCTACAGACTACCAACAACAGCTGTCTCGCCTCACTACTAACTTTTTGAATTGTCACTATCCCCTCAAACTAATACTATCTGCTATATTAAAGGCATCTTCTAAATCTCGCTCAGACCTTTTATCTTACACCCATAGACCTATCCCCGATACTCGTATACCTATGGTATTTGATCACTGTCCCCCTATCAAGTCTCTCGGCAACTCCATCAAGAATGACTACAAGACTCTTCAGGAAGACCCCAATATATCAGAACTCTATCTTCATCCTCCGATTCTAGCTCAACGCCAACCCCCTAATCTTAAATCTCTTCTCACCTCCTCCAGTTTACCCTTGGCTAATCCTACTCATGGAAACATGGCTTGTAACAACAGGCGATGCCAACTATGCACTATAATTGACACATCTGATAGATTCAGAGTTCCTGGTACCAACATCATCATCCATCCTCCACCACTTAACTGCCACGCTTCCAATGCTGTTTATATTATATATTGCGCCATATGCAACAAAGGTAACTACGTAGGTGAAACGGGATGTAAACTCCGTTTAAGAAACAATAATCACAAGAAATCTGTCAGGGATAAACTAAAGGGTTTCTCGTAAGTGAACACTTTAATTCTACAGACCATTCCATCAAAGATTTAAGGTTCATTGTTATAGAATCTAACTACCGTTCCCTTAAGGAGCGACGATGTACTGAATTACGTTGTATCCTTCATCTGAAATCACACATTAATGGATTAAACAAAGACCTAGGCTTTATTAGTGGTTACTCTTTTGTAAATAATAAATCTTAATTATTCCCACAGCCCAAATAGCAAATATATCACTCGATATCTTATATGTATATCACTCGAGACATATATCTTGTATATTATACATTTTTAATCACTATATGATCTACAATATGTACTTTTACAAAACCCGTCACTTTTACGACACAATCATGATATTTTTTATTACATAACTGTATTTTAATTACTATGCTTTTAATAGCCGTATATATTACCATTATATATTTTCATCAACTTTTTTGTTTAAATCCAATATATCAAATGACCAATGAATTTATATTTGTTAGTAGGCAAACAATTTATATCTGCTATCTGACCACACATAAACAATTAGTTATTCCATTAATCACCTTATTTTGTCATGCTATTATTTATGCCTTATTACTTCCTTGATGTGCCAATATACTCTATGCAAAGTTTGTTGTATGTTCAGTTCACACTGAAGAAGGTTGCAGGGACGACCGAAATATTTGTGTTCAAATAAATATTATTATGTTCCAGAAATACGTCAACCCTTGTTTTCAATTACTTGTGATCAGTC